CTCCGCTCTCATCCCTCCTCCCTCCTCCCTCCTCCTTCCGCCCTCCTCCCTCCCTCCTCCGCCCACAGGCCTCGGCGCCCCCTCTGGGACTGCCCCCACGCGTGATTACCCTCAGATCTGGGCGGCACGATGTTGTCACAGGAGGAGCGTTTCCGCACGCGGGCACCGGGGCCTTCACAGATCGGTCCGGCTCGAAAGACGAGGCAGAGAGAGGGGGTCCAGTGCACTGGCTGTGTTTCTTCACGGTGTTGAAATTGTTCTGCAACGTCGGATCTGAGGGGACCCCAACGCGTAGTGGCAGAATCAGGACGGGAACCTTTTGGCCACTTTCGGACTCCTAGGGCCCCTACAGGGCTTCGGGACCGTCAAGCAACGACCCAGGATGAAGAACTGGTCCCTGGAAAGAGGTCCAGACCTCTGGGAATCCCCCGCTATGCTTAAGTCAGGCCTGTCCCCCTGCAGGGGGATTTTCGACGAAAAATAAGAAATACCCCACAAATCATCCAACGATAATCCAGAAATAGTCTGGGGACTATTTTGGGGCTTTTGTTGCATATCTAGGGTATGTTGGGGGGTATCCTTGATTTTTCGTCGAAAATCCCCCTGTAGGGGGGACACGCCCGACATAACGCTATGAACAAAAAAACACGACGTCGGGGCTCTGGGTCTCGCGCCTGTGGGCAGCCGTGGGACACTCTATATGGCCAGAGCTGGACTCGGCAAGGATGTGCAGGGCCGGAACCTGTGCAGGCCCGCCGCCTGAGGAAGCGAGGCACTCCAGATTTCGTAATCGAGGGAGGGGGGTCTCACTTCGGGGGGGGTCTCTTCCAGGCTATCTTGGAGGGCCTGGGGGGTCTGGGGACGATGTTTTGGAGGGTTCTCCCACGGGGGAGGTCTGAAATGGCTTGTCATGGAGGGTCCAGACCCCCTCCCTTTTATTACGAAATCTGGAGTAATCATCCCGAGATCTGGGAGGCAGGGGACTTGACCGTCTTCTTCCCACCAGCCCCTCCATCGAAGACCATCAAAGACGCGCGAAAATCGACGCCCACCACGACGACGACGACGACGAACGACGCCGACGCCGACGCCGACTCCGAGGACGACAGCACAGACAACAACGACGCCACCGCCGCCGCCGCCGCCGATGACGACGACGACGACGACGACGACGACGACGACGACGACGACGACGACGACGCGGACGACGACGACGGCGGCGTCGACACGAGCTCGGAGGTGGCGTCGGGTGTTGCCAGAGGTGTCCCTGGCCCAAGGTGCCCACAAGGGGCCCTGGGACCCTGGAGCGTCCCTCGCGAGGACACGAAGAACAGAAGGGTACCCTCCCCGAAGCGACCTCCATCTTACGCCTCGGTCCGACAGTGCCCCAAACAAATGCATCGGCATGGCGCTCGGATATCCAATCAAAACCATCAAAGATCCAGGCTCGAGAATGGCAGATCCCTGGGATCGGACATTTTACTGGGGCTCGAAAAGCGGAGCAAGAGGCTGGGCTGGGGACACACTGGCCCAGGAACTCAAAGGGAACAACGAGGAGTGACCAGCCCAGGGCGGGAACATCGAGCGTGCATCGGCGATGCATCGCCGATGCAACGGCGATGGGCACCCGATAGCGAATCCGCACACGCTCCTGGGCGGGGCGGGCATATTGGGACCCATCTCGGCGATCCATGGGCGATCGGGGAGTCGACGCACCCCCCCCTCCGTCCTTGCCCCCGTCCCTGCCCCCCACGAGGAGGAGGAGGAGGAGGAGGAGGAGGAGGAGGAGGAGGAGGATGACGAGGAGGACGAGGAGGGGGAGGAGGAGGAGGAGGACGAGGAGGAGGAGGCGGAGGACGAGGAGGAGGAGGCGGAGGACGACGGCGAGCCTGTCCCGCCCCTGTGCGTGCCCCTGGCCTCGGGCCAGGGGGCGCCTCCCAGCAAGCCGCCGGGGTGGCGGCGGGCGGCCGGGCGGCGGGGCGGGCGGGGCCTCCTCCTGCTGGGTGCCCGCCTGGCAGCGGGGTCGGGGCGGCGGCGCGGCCGACGACAGGCGGGCAGGCTCGTCGCCGTCTCCTCCTCCGCTCCTAGCTCCCCTCCTCCTCCTCCTCCTCCGCTCTCCTCCCTCCTCCCCTCCTCCTCCTCCCCTCCCCCTCCTCCTCCTCCTCCTCCTCCTCCTCCTCCTCCTCCTCCTCCTCCTCCTCCTCCTCCTCCCTCCTCCTTTTCCTCCTCCTCGTCCTCCTCCTCCTCGTCCTCGTCCTCCTCCTCGTCCTGCCTCCTCCTCCTTTTCCTCCTCTCCTCCTCCTCCTCCTCCTTCTCCTCCTCCTCCCCTTGTCCTCCTTCCTCCTCCTCCTCCTCCTCTCCTCCTCTCCTCCTCCTCCTCCCTCCTCCTCCTCCTCCTCCTCCTCCTCCTCCTCCTCCTCGTCCTTCTCAGCGAAGGCGCCACCTCGGCGACACGCAAGAATCGAGCCGGGACAGGCCGTCCTGGCAATCCTATAGGCCTGCCACGAGATGCTCTCCGCACCCAAGGATGCTCCAATGACGACAACCGTGCTCTTCGAGCACGAGCCTGGCGTGGTAAAACAAGACAGTCTCAGCCAGCCATGTTCTAAGAACATCTAGCGCAGACCACATGACGGCCGCGACGCCCTCTCGCGAACCGAAAACGGCCAATTCGCTACTCGAAGAGGAGGAGGAGGAGGAGGAGGAGGAGGAGGAGGAGGAGGAGGAGGAGGAGGAGGAGGAGAGGAGGAGGAGGAGGAGAAGGAGGAGGAGGAGGAGGAGGAGGAGGAGGAGAGGAGGAGGAGGAGGAGGAGAGGAGGAGGAGGAGGAGGAGGAGGAGGAGGGAGGAGGAGAAGGAGGCTCTTGGAACACTCTCTGGGGGGCCTGCAGGGGAGCCACGACGCTTCGCCACTGCTTCCAAGGCTGACCTTCCCGCAGACCCAGGCGTCTGCGCCCGGCGTCGGGCCCCTCCTCCTCCTCGACTCCTCCTCGACTCCTCCTCGACTCCTCCTCGACTCCTCCTCGACTCCTCCTCGACTCCTCCTCGACTCCTCCTCGACTCCTCCTCGACTCCTCCTCGACTCCTCCTCGACTCCTCCTCGACTCCTCCTCGATCGAGGCAACGTCGCAGGGAGGTGGGGCCCAGGGCTCCGGCGGTGACTTTTGGGCGCCCGAGTTATCCGGGGTAGCTCGGGTCCGGGGTAACTCGGGCTTGGATTCCCGAAAAAAGGAACCCGAGTTGGCCCTGACCCGAATTGCCCCTGATGATTCGGGGCTCTGGACGCCCGAGTTATCCGGGGTAACTCGGGTCCGGGGTAAGTCGGGTCCGGATTCCCGAAAAACGAACCCGAGTTAGCCCTGACCCGAGTTACCCCTGATGATTCGGGACTCTGAGACTTCGCGAGAGGTGGCATGCTGTCGCGGCGTCGGACCAAGAGACCTCCAAGCTTGCCCCACGGCGCCCCGAGGCGGCCCAGAGAGGCCCACAAGACGGTGTCTGGAGGACTCCGATGGGCTAAGAGAGCCCAAGATGGATCCTCACCAGGCCTCCAGAGGCCCCCAAGAGGCGCCCAAGAGACCCTTCAGAGTTCTGGAAGGGACCCAGCAAGACGCCAAACAATCGAAGCGACTGCAAAGCAGGATTTGATCACCGACACTTTGAGTTTGTGCAAGACTCACGCGGGTTCGCGGGTTGATGGCTGATCCTTTTTCAAGACGGGGCAATCGCTGAGCACCTCCTTGAACTTTATCATCCTACCTCCCTGCGTCTCACCTAGCTGAAAAATGGGAGGTATATCCTTTACAAAAAGACGTCTCGCCTCAGCGGTAAGCCCATCTGGCGCACGCCATTCAACAAGGCACTACCAACAGCGGAAAAGAATACTTGTAGGGACTTATGGGGACAGGGTTCGGGAGGAGGGGGGTCTTGCAGCGTCGTTGACGCATCCTGAGCTTACTCGGGTCGCATCTCCTCCTCCTCCTCCTCCTCCTCCTCCTCCTCCTCCCCGCCTCCTCCTCCGCCTCTTCCACGTCCGCTATTTCCGCTATTTGACGCGCCGCAAGGGTCACTGCCCTGAAGCGCAGCGCGGCGGCCGTCGGCCGCCGACAGAGGGGGGGTGAGGAAGGCCCGTTTCATTGTCCTGGAAAGAGATAGGCCCGGAGGAAAGGGAAGGCGAAAAAGACAACGGGCCCGTTGGGCCCAACACCGGTCGGCGAAGGGCCCGAGGGGCCTAGGGCCCGCGGGGCCCTGGCCTTCGGCTCGGCGAGGGCCCACCCGCCTCGGTGGGGCCTAGCTGAGCTCGTCCGCCAAGTCGGGGACAGCGGGGCCCTCAGGCCGCGTCGAAGGCGGCGACCCCGCCCGCGCCTGGCCTCCGCGATGCGCTCCCTCTGGCCCAGCGCGAGGTGCTCCGCGTCGCGCGTGCGTCCGCCGGTGTGCACCTGCTGGTCCAGCGCCAGGAGCCCTGCGTTGCCGCAGGCCTGCGGGGGCAGCCGCGCCTGGCCTCCCAGCTGTCCGCCAGCTGGCCCAGCGCGAGGAGCTCCGCGACGCCGTCGGCCTCCACCATCTGGCCCCCAGCGCGAGGAGCTCCGCGATGCCATCGGCCTCCGCCATCTGGCCCTCAGCGCGAGGAGCTCCGCGATGCCGTCGGCCTCCGCAATGTGCTCCCTCTGGCCCAGCGCGAGGAGCTCCGCGTCGCAGTCGGCCTCCTCGGTGTGCACCATCTGGCCCAGCGCGAAGAGCTCCCTGTAGCAGTCGGCCTTCGCGACGTGCTTCTGCGAGCTCCTCCACATACGAGCGCAAGCGCCCAGCTGGCTGCTGAGGCCTTGCCTTCGGTGCTGCTGGTAGATGGCGTGCTGGTGGTGCGGTGGGTCGTTGTGGGTAGTGGTGGGCGTGTGGCGTGGGTCGTTGTGGTTGTTGGTCGCACTCATGGCCTCTATGCACCGACTTCAAGTGGGAGTCGCGGCTGTGTTGGGCTCAGGCTCTGGTACTCGTAGCAGCCGATGAAGTAATTGTCGTGCTGGTTAGGGTCGATGGGGGCCGGCTCGTTGCTGGTAGGTGGAGTAGATTGTGGGCGCACTCAGGCCTCCATGCACCGACTTCAAGTAGGGTTCGTGGCGGCCCTACCTCGTCCCGCTATGGGTAGGGGTCACGGTGCCCTCGGTGGGGGCGAACCCCAGGCCAAGTGATTCTTGATATCGATGAGGAAGATCAACGCTGCCCTATGCTTCGCCCTTGGGCGCTCGGGAGCTCCGTCTCCGCCATGGGAATGGTGGGGGTGGCGAGCTAGGGCGGACCGCGGGGGCGCGGGCAGTACTCGTCCTGCCCCCCCCCTGCCCCTCACCATCCCCCCTGGTAGGCGCGGGCAGTCCTCGTCCTGCCCCCCCGCCCTTCGAGCCCGTCTCGAAGTTTGATCCTTGCCTCACCAGGGCAGCGTTGACTCGTACTTGGTGCAGTTGGGGAAATCTGGCTGGTACCTTTGAGCCCTGACTGAACGGCGGCCGTGTCCGTCAAGTGCAAAACGTGGCGACGTGTGCCTGGGGTGTTCCCTCGCATTCGGGGCTTCCCCAGGACTTGCGCCCTGATGACTTGTGCAAAACTTGACGACGTAGCCTGAGGTGTTCCCACGCACTCGGGGCTTCCTCAGGACTTGCGTTCTGATTCTTTTGTACTTGTCGTCAGGGCGCATCGACTCGATCCGCGTTGTCAGCCTGTGCCCGAACAGCTCCTGTCGAGGTGGTGGCCCTGCCGATTGCCTTGCCGGGTCGGTCCTGCCGGGCCCACTCCCTTGCCTCTTCCAACCAGGTCGGTGAGCAACTCCGCCTCGCTGGGCCCCGATGGTAGTCCTGACCCATCTCCCTGGTCTTGTAGCGGTCGAGCGGCTGGAAGAAGTGGGCCACGTCGTCGTCGATGTGCCACCCCTGGACGTCGTTGGGCGACTCGCCAAAGCGCCACCTTATCTGCTTCGCCAGTGCGGTCGCGATGGCCTGGCACATCCTGTTCGGGTACTCCTTGGCCGCCGCGGTGCGCCACTGGCCGTCGTCGTTGATGCCTGCCAGCTCCGCGTGGTAGGAGGCCGTGTGAAAGCACCTCCCGCTTCCAGGCAGTCTACTGATTTCTGCTCGGAGGGTTGGTAGGGATACCGCCATCAGGCTTGTGGACTTCCTCGAACGCGCTCCACAGGTGCACTGGTCGAATGTGATCAGCTCGACTCCCTGCTGGTTCAGGAGGTGGCGCGTCTCGGGAAGCTTCCAGGAGCTGGCGAAGTGCTCCTCGGTGGGCTCGGACGGGTGCTCGAGCATGCCTGGGACTCCCAGGTTGAGGCACATGTACATGAGCTCCAGCTGTGTCCTGTATAGGCGGTTGCCTGTCGCTACTTGCTCCATCTCTGGGCGGGAAAGGTAGCGAAGGCCACACAGGCTGCTGCTGCTCCTTAGGGGTCTTGGTGGCCGACTCCTGCAGTCGTTGGGGGGCAAGTGGCGCGCTCGGCTCCAGGTCTCGCACGGCGGTCCGCCGATGACTCCTGCAATTCTTCCTGCTTGTGCCATGTCTCGCCACTTGCTGACTGCGACTTATGATGTCAGGTCGCCGAAGGTCGGGTCGTTGGCGATGTCCAGGCTGAGCATGTGTATGTCGCAAGCAGCCCGACTGCTGAGGCGGTCGAACCAGTCCTGAACATCTCCCTCTCGGCGACGGCCGCTGAATAGATGCAGCACGTATAGCGTCCGAGCTGGTCTGGGCCTCGGTACAGCAGCTGGCGGCGGTGGCGGCTCCTCGATGAAGGGGAGCTCAAGGCTCTCGTAGTGGCCGCCGTTGCTGTCGTCGCTGTCCTCGTCCGTATGTATTTCTGGAGGACGAGCAGGGACTGCAGGCTTCTCTGCCCAGTCGATGGGCCTGCCCGCCCTTCGGTTCGCCTGCTGCTGGTCGCGGACAATTTGCTGGTTGTGCTGCAGCTCGGCTCTACTTAGGATTGCTGGACGCGTCTTTCGCCAATGTCGAGCGCACCTGCGCACTCTCAGCAAGTGTTTGACCAGCCTGTTTGTAGTATGGTAATCCATGCCGCATCCGTAGCAGACCGAACCAGTTGCCCACGAGATAGGATGACCCGACGAGGTGTGGTCCTTGGTGATGTGTGCTCGTAGCACTGCTGCACTGGCTTCGGTACGTCCGCAGTGGTAGCATAGGTTATTGCGCTGATGCTCGAAGTGCTGGTCTGGGAAGTGCGAGATGGCTTCCGTGTTGGTCCACCGTTGGAGTCGAAGCCGCCATCGAGCTTGGTAGTCGTGATCGTACTCGCGAGCTTTGCCGCGTTGGCAAGCTTTCTTTACTGCGCTGAGGTAGCTTTGGTAGTCGTTCCTGGCCCAGTCCTTCCAGTCCTCGAGCGTGTATGCTCCACCACGCTCGTCAGGTCCTGTGTGGTCGCGGACCCAGTCTAGGTCGCGGCGGAGCAGTGCCACCCAGCCGTAACTACCATCCCATGCTTGGCTAAGTAGCCGGCGGAGGTGCAGGGGTCCCCAGTTGAGGCATCTGCCAAATAGTCGTAGCTTCTCAAGTCGCAGGACTATCTCTGGGGGCAGCTTGTCGACCCCTTCGAGAATCTGGGTGTTCGTTACCTCCTTTTTCTGTCGTACTTTCCAAGTGATCCTTTGCGCGGCAGCGTAGTTGACGATGTACTGGTTGTTGAAGTTCCTGGCCTGGCCTGCGGTGAGTTCGGGCCAGGTAGACGCATTGTATAGCAGCTGGGATAGCACCACACTGTCGGCTAAGTAGGCCTTGTCTTTGATGGCCAGCTCTGATCGGCGGTGGACTTCGCGATGGAGAGGCCTCGTGGATGTCGCTGCAGTGGCTACCTTCACTGCGACATCCACCCCAGGGGATGCATTGTCGGTCACGTAGGTCCCGAGGAGCTTGTGGTGACGAACCACCTCGACGTAACTCCCTGCAAGGGGGACCTCGATCCTCGGCACTCCCTCGGAGTAGAAACTGGCCCGCGCTTGCCGGCTCCCAGGCCCACTGAAGTCGATCATCACCTTGGTCTTGGTGAGTTGCAGCTGGAGGCCGAAGGTGCTGGCGGCGCAGTAGACGGCTTCGCAGAACCCGGTGGCTTCATGCTGAATGTGATCGGGGCTGGTGAACACGTGCATGCCCGTTAGGTCGTCGACAAACGATAGGCCATGTGGTTCATGCTCCTGGAGTGGCCCATCTGTGGGGTCGGTGTCGCATGCGAAGCTGCTGTCAAGAGGCTTGCCCTGAGGTCGTAGCCCTCGCTGCGCAAGGTAGCTGTCAATCATGCGGTGGACTCGGCCGAATAGCAGATTGAAGTCCGCGTCGGCCAGGGGCACGCCAGGCCTCGTGCCCTTGTGCGGCGCCATGAGGTTCTGGGAGAACCTGTGTGATGTCCACCTGTTGCGGTATCCTTCTGCAATGAGGGCAGCCAAGTGGGAGCCGTCCAACACTGTGTCGAGTATCCCTGGGTTGGCCATGAGGTGCTCCAGCTGCGGCTGGGCCCACAGGGGAACCTCGAGGTTCTCTAGCACCTCCTTGACTTCATCCTCCTCTCCTGGGATGCCATGAACCAACTGGACTACAACCGAATAGAAGGCCTCCTTTAAGTCGTAGCAGCTTATCATGGAGCACTTCCCTTGGGCCTGACTTCTCTCTGTGAAGAGGCGTGCTGCTAGGACCGCCATGTCCGCCCCTCGCTTGGGCCGGCCGCCAACCTGGATGTCCTCCAGCGCTATGGCGAGGGTAGTGTTGAGCATGGTCCTTAGGTATTTGTGGTGGTGCTTGCCCAGGACGTTGTTTAAGAGGATCTCGCGGTAGGCTTGGAGGTACCTTGGGTCGCCTTTACCTTTGGGAATTGCGACCAGGTCTCCACCCTTGAAGCTCAGCGGCTCTCTCACGGTGGTCGCCACCTTGGTGAAGAGGGGGTGCAGTAGCCTCGCTGCCTCTATGGGGGCCGCCCTGAGGACAGCGTTCGTGAGCCCGTCGGGGCCTCCTTGCGTCCCAGCCTTGGCCGCGGCGAACTGGGCCTGGCAGACGGCCAGGGGCATCACCATGGAGAGATCCAGCATGCCGTCGAAGGGCCTGCTCTTGCTGTCGTGATTGTACTTGTTAGCAAGATCGTCCGCTGTCACGATCTTGCCCGCCTGTATCTTCGCGAAATGGTTGAGCTCCTGGTCCGCCATTTCCTGGGAGTTGTGGATCACCTCTCCATCCTTGTCGAGCCGCATAGGCTTTCCTGCTGGGAATTTCGCCTTCCTCCCTCCATACCTTAGCAGGTCTCGGTAAGCCTTCCACTGGACCGCGGCGTCGTTCGCAGCGGAGGCGGAGGACGCTGTCGAGGCAAGCCGACTGAGGAATGCGCTGCGGTCCTTCTCAACGGCCGCGGCAACTATGGGCCCAGACCTGGCGAGGAAGGAAAGGATGGCCATGGCGAAGACCATGGGCGAGATTGCCCAGTTCAGGAGGAGGTGCGCGTAGTGGTGGATGTCGTGGATGGTGCCATCGTCATCGCCCCGCTCTCTGCTCCAAAGGGAGAGTGAGTCCCCTACTTCGCCTGCACGAAGAGAATGGGCGTGGGCTACTAGTCGTCCAGGTCGGTCGTCGTGGGTTTCTCCTCTGAGCACTGCACGGTGGACTCGGAGTGTGAGGCGCCTGGCTCGGATCAGGCCCATGGTAGTCTTGGTGACGTAGGGCTTCCTCGTTGCCTTGGAGGCCTTGCCGAAGGCCTGGATGGCCGCGTCGTTGACGACCCTGATGACCTCCTCGCAGTGGGTGTCGACGTCCACCTCCCAGGGGATGATCGGGGCCTGCTTGAGAATCTCCTTGAAGCTGGCCTTGGCGACGTCATTGTTCAAGTTGGTCAGGTCGGGCCTCGGTCCTGAGGCCTTGGTGGTCTTGCAGACGGCCCACTTGAGGGTGGCTAGTACTGGTATGTGGTCTTGTGCAGCTGTGCCTCGGTCCAGACCTGGCTCCGTGCTGCAGCTCGCGACGTACGGGGCGATCGAGGAGCTCAGCAGGATGTAGTCTATCCTGTGGTGCTGCCCCTTCGATCCGACGTGCGTATATGAGTTGTTGCCTGGATCCCTCGTGGCGTTGATGACCTCCATGTTGGTGTCGGCAGCGAAGCTGATGATGTGCTTGCCATTGCCGTTGGTCGCTTCTGGGTACCCACTGGCGCCGACTCCTGGGGACTCGTAGTCGCCAAGACGCCCGTTCAGGTCCCCCATGAAGATGTCCACTCGGTACTTGTCAGACAATCGCTGAGCAGACTCCCAGAATTCTCTCTTCTCCGCCGCGTGGGAGTCTTCGTGGGGTGCGTATGCTGATGCGATAACCATGTCTGTGCCTGCAACACGGGTCTTGATGATCAGGAGCCTGTCGTGCTGGTGGAGGACGAGGGTGTCTTTGGCACTTAGGTACTTCGCTGCCCCACTCGCGCTGATTGGTTGGGAGACGTTGAGCCAGATGTCGCATCCTCTGTTCTGCTGCGTGTGGCCTGATGAGTAGCAAACGTATTCACCTACATTGCGGACGTCTCCTTCGCTCTGCGTCTCCTGCAGGGCGACGACGTGCAGGCCCATGTCAGCAAACTGTGCTGCTAGGTGCGTGACCTTGGAGAGGCTCTGCTTGCTTTTGCCGGCCGCCTTGCCTTTGCCCGACTTGAAGCTAACGGTGGCCTTGAGTGATCTGCAGTTGTAGGTGCACAAATTCACGTTGAGGTCGGCCTTGATGGTGGTGGTGCTGATGGGCCTCTGGATCGCTCCTGGGGCTGCCTGCGGCTGGGTGGCCTCGATGATGAAGTCTGTGTTCCGCAGGGGCGGGTATGCGGCCTTGACCGCATCTGGCTCTGATCGCAGCCATTCCCAGGAAAGGAACTTGTTGTGGGCGATCGCCTGTACAGCTGCAATGTTCGGGTCCATCAGGTCGCTGGCCGAGGCTTGATCTGCTATCCCATCTGCGAGCTCGTTCCAAGGGTGCCCGATGTGCGAGTTAATATGGTGCCACTGGGTAGGTCGGGCTTGCTGGAGGAGGCCTGCAAGTGTGCGAATGACGGCCCCCAACCTCGGATGTACGTGGCATTGGGCTTCGCCTTTGGCCAGGTTGATGACGTTGAGGGCGTCGGGCGTGATCTCGATGGGCGCGTCGGTGTCTTGACCAAAGGCCCACGTCAGTGCCCAGAGTACTGCCGTGAGCTCAGCTGTGTATGCCGTCACCTTCTCGTTGTTTGCCATGTCGTCTAAGGTCTCGGTGACTTTGCCAGCAATGAAACCCCGAAAGCCGAACGGGCCTCGTAAGTTGCGCCCGTCGTCGTACTCGTCGACAATGACAACTGCCCAGGCGGCTGTATGTGGGATGCCGTTGTAGCTGCCGTCCGTGTAGATGTGTGTCCGCCTGGTCGGCAGCTCGCGTGATGGGCACATCTCCAGCGCCATCCTTGCCATGCTGTGCAGGGTCGTAGCGTCGACGTCGTCGCAGACGTTGACGCGGCCTCGGCCGCGAAGGGTCTCGGCTACTGGGTCTTGGCTGAGAACTGGCAGCACTGTCGCTTGGCCTCTTTCTCGTGCTGTCGGGGTGGGGATCTGCCGTCGCCTTCGGCCACGCCTGGCCCTCTCTGCATTGACGTACTCGGGGGAGTACTCGATGTCGTCGCCTGGGGCCAGCCCCAAGCCCTCTAGAATGGGACCTGGTGTGGTGGTGATGTGGGCTGGAGGTGGCCGTGGTGTCGGAGAACGTGTGGGTGGGGCGAGTGATATGGCTCCAGCCTGAGGCGCACTCCGCTTCACGGGTGGTAGTGATGGCATTTGGCTCCCCTCATCGTAGTTCAAGTTGTCCGATCCAGCCCGCGCGGCCTGACTGAACAGGGGCTCGCGTGATTGGGCGTGGAGCATGCTGTCACGTAGACGATGAGGTTCGCCATCCAGGGCGTCTGGGTGGTTGGTAGCACCCGTGCCGTGGTGGGAGCGCGCTGATGCCGAGGGGAGCGTTGGCTTCCACCTGCTGGACCGTGGTGAGCTGCTTGGGTCCGTCGGGACTGGGGCCACTGGTGCTGCTGGTTGAGCTGCTGAGTCCGACGGATCGGTATCCACCGCCAGGGCATGGCACTTGTTGTAGCTGCTGCTGTTGTCCCGACGACTGTGGCTCTCCGCAGCGCGCCGTGCGCGGCGTGCACTCCGCTGGGCTGATCGGAAGGCTGCGACTGCGCACGCTTGCCTCCACTTCTCGTAGCACTGCTCCATGCCATCCTCTGCCTCGCTGCCAGCCGAGTTTTGACCGTCGAGAAAGGTCCTTTCCACGTTCTCGATCTCGTGGGCTCGGATGGCGGAGGGGGACACACTGAGTGCAAGGGCAGCCGGTAACGCATCCTTGCAGCCATCTTGGTGGCTTGTGACCTGGAGTGCTGACAGATTGGCGGATGCATCACTCATCCTTGGTAGTGTGCCTCCTTGATTGCCGCCTAGCGCCCCTCGAGACGCGGCGGGCGGCCCTCGCGTCGGCCGCGGTGGTGTCACGTTGGCCCCTCGAGACCCAGGTGACTGATACCGCTGCTGATGCTGGCTGCTGCGATTGGGAGTGGCCCTCCCACTGCCAATGCCCGTTGCGGTAGCACATCTGTTTGGAGTCGCGGCCCCTCGGGACCCTGGACTCCTGGGAGTACCTGGACTTGTGCGTGAGATTGTCGGAATCTCCGCTGGTCTATTTGTTACAAGACGGCTGTCGCAATTACCCCCAGGGCCCGCCGTGCTTTCAAGCCTCTGGTGGTGGGTAGGTCGAGCATCGTAGTGGAGGACCCCACTGCCGTGCTGCGGGCTTTGGGCCTCAGCTGCTCTCCCCGATGCTGCCCAGGAGATCGATGCTGTCGAACTGATCGGAGAGCGTGACGAAATCCCACATCCGTCGTGCTCTGCCCTGTTGGACTCATCGGCCGCCTCCTGGCGGTGAATTCTGTCATGCATGACCTGAAGCCTGGCGGCGCTGCTAGGCCCCCTCCCCCCCTCGGGGGGATTCGGCGGGCGCTGCTGCTGCCTGCTCCTCGGCTCCAGGAGTTGCAGGAGGGGAGGGGGTTGCTGTGCCCCTTGTCTCGTCCCTCCTGCGGGCCACTCGGCCACGAAAACGTGCTATGCCTGACTCTCCAGAGTCTACCCGCTGACCCTTGTGGGCCTGGCTGATGTCTTCTCCTGGAAATGCGGGCGCGGGTCCAAACGCCTCTTCGAGGGCTGCAGCTGCGGCGGCGGCTGAGGTGTGCTGGCGCGTCATGATGTCGATGCCCTCGTACTGCCTCTCGATGCTGGCCGCTGCCGCCTCCGCGTTCTGCTGGGACGCAGGGGGAGGGGTCAATACGAAGCTGTCGGCTCCCTCTCCACCTCCATGGCCACGCTGCTCATCATGCCCGAATGGAGCTGTGGGCGTGAGTGACCTCTCGCTGAGTGGCGCTGGCGATGCTGGGATGAAGATTACCTGAGATGCTGACGGGGTAGGAGGGTCGCCTTGCTCTGCTGGTATCGAGCTAGCCCTTGACGTGGATGCCAGGTCTGTGTCTGCCTCGTGCTGCGTGATCCCCCTCATCTCCTCACCCTCATCGGGTGTGGGGTGATCTGGCTCCAGGGCGGCCACCTGGCGGGGTAGATCATCGGCGCGTGCTCCGAGCCGTCGTCCTCCGCTCGAGAGTCCTGCGCGCCCGCTGTGCCGAACTGGGTCAAAGGGGCCTCCTCGTAGTAGCGCCTTTGGATCTCCTTCGCCTCGTGGTCCCTCACTACGGACTCCAGCTCCTCCTCCATCTGTACGGCTTCCCATTGTGCTTTCTCCTCAGCAGCTTGTCTGCGCAACTCATCTTGTTCGCGCTCGTATCTTTCTGCCTCCTCGTGCGGGTCTGGCCTGTCGGGGCTCCTGGACCTGTCACGCTCTATGAGGGGGGCATCGCCTTCGTCGGTCTGGCGGGCTGCTGACCTGGCTGACCTGGTTGATGCTGGCCTCCGAGGAGAGGAGCTGCTCTGCCTGCGGCCCCTGTTGGCTGGGCGCTCATCGGCTGCACCAGTTTGGAGATTGGTCGCAACGGGGGGCTCCGCTGTGGCGGTCGCTGCCTCGGCTGCTCCTCTGGCTTCCTCGTACAGGTCAGCGGCCTCCTGGTAGTCGTCCATGGACTCTTGGGACGTTGGGAGGTGGCCCCCTTGGACGAGGTGATGAGCTGCCCTCTTGGTGAAGTCGTAGCCCTCCTGCCCGTATTGCCTCATCTCGGCGTACAGGTTGACCATGGCCTTGCGTTCACGTTCCCTGCTGGCTGCAATGGCTTCCAGGCTCTGCATCCTCAGCTTTAGCTCCTCTGTCTCCGACGCGCCCTGCTGCTCCTTCTTTGCGATGGCGTCTAGCTCGGTGTGCAGCGTGCTGGAGCGCTGGAGGCTTTCTTGCAGCGCGAGGTGGATGGCCTCCTCCCTGCCCGTCCTCTGCTGGCTGGCGAAGTCTTCCATGGCGGAGGCCTCCTCCATGCTGGCGATCCTGAAGGTGAGGGCCTGGGCGAGCTCCTCCTCCAGCGCCTGCTCCTGCACCTCTGCGTTGGACCTTTGCTCGCTCAGCTGCACCGCGTAGCTGCTCAGTTCCTGTCGCAGGCTCTCTGTGTGCAGCTGCAAGTCATGTGCGTTCGCCTCTTCTATCATGACTTGGCGGGTGAGACTCGACCTTATTCGCTCAGCACTGCCTTCGAGCTCTGCCCGCATTGCCTCCTTGTCCTTCAGGCTGGCCTTCGCGATCTCCTCCTCCTCTGCTCTAGTCCTTAGCAGGGCGAACTGCAATGCCTGTACCTCGTGCGGGATTTGCCGCTCCTTGTTGGCGCTTCTCAGCTCCGCTGCTTCATGGTATGCCACTTGTACTGCACGCTGCGCAGCGCCCGCCTCAAGCTCGGAGTGCTGCTGGAGCTCGTGTATGCGGGCTTCAGCTGCCTCGAGCTCGCTTTTGGTCTGCTTGAGCCGCTCCTGCTGCCGTGCTGCTGTCTGGACAATCCCTTGCAGCCTGGCCGCCTCTGCCGGCGGGAGGGCCCCTGTTCCCTTGGCATTGGCAACCACTTGGGCCTGGGCGATTGCCTGGACCCTGGCTGATTCGGCGGCAGCTTCAATCTCGAGGGCGTGGTTCTTTTTGGCCTCCTGGAACTTCTCTTCCATGACCAGCTCCTGCCTGGCGAGCTGCTGCTTGAGAGTGCCCGCTGTAGCTGTCGCTTGGGCGCCCTCGTGCTGGGCCCGTCGCAGTGCCTCTTGCGCCTCGGCTCTTGCCCGCAGCAGGTCTTGGTAGACCCTGTCCTGGGGTTGCGGCTTCTCCCGGTGCTCCGCTCGAACTTGCTCAAGCTGCTCATGCAGGTGATTTGCCCGGTGAGTCGCGGCTTCGGCCTCTGCCTTGGCTCGACTGAAGGCTGTGTCATGGCTGATTATCCTGGCCTCCATCTGCGTCGCGAACTCGAGCTGCTCGGCTTGTTGCTTCTTGATTTCATGGCGGAGGGCCTTGTGTTGCTGCTGCTGCTGCTGGGCTGCGCTCTCCGCTGCGGTGATGCGCTGCAGCTGCTCTGACTCCTCCTTGAGTGCCAGCCTGAGTTTCGCCTGCTCGCCGTTGTGGCGGAGTGCTTGTTCTCGGGCGACCCTCCTGACTTCCGCCAGCTCGGCAGCAAACTCTTGCTCGGCTTCGGCATGGCGCTGCTGCTGGTGGGCCCGCTCCGCATTCGCCTTGGCCACCTGATCTGCGAAGCCTCTGGTTGCGCTGCCTGCCGAGCTGGCTCTTGAGCGTGGCGATCGCCCCACCACTCCCGCTGGCCAAGCTGGGAATCCGTCACCAGGTGCTTCGCTGTTCAGGCGCCTGTCGATCACGGCCTTGTGGAAAGCATCCCAGCTCGGTGCCAAGCCGAACCCGTCCGCGTCCCAGTCGCCCTCGTCGTCCGCCGCGCCGCCGTCGGCGAGCACGGCCCTCACGTCGGCGATGTTGGATTCGAGCTGCCTCAACTCCTGCTGCTTGGCCTTGAGGTCGTCCCGCAGCTCGTTCGTCTTGGCCTCGAGGGCGATGACTTCGAGTTTGACGGCCTTGCGCCTCTTGCTGAGCACCTGCAGCTGGTCATTCGGCCTCCTCGTGACCAGCTTCTGGTACTTGATGACCGCGATCTCCATCAACTGCTCCTTCGTGCTGTCCCCCGCGGCCTGCTTGGCAATGACCAGGTCGCCAAGCTTCCTCAGCCTCTGGTCGGCGGTGCTCAGAAACTTCTGGATGCCTGCACGGTCGGCCGGGGGCGCCTGCCACTTTGGGTGGGTGGTGGCCTCGTCCAGCGTGCAGGCCGCCACTGAGTCGATGACCTTTTGAGCTCGCTGGTCCGCTTTGCTGGAGCTTGCCTGGCCACCCTTGCCCGCCCTGGGCTGCTGCTGCTGCTGCTGCCAGGGAGGCTGACTGGGCTGCTGCTGCTGCTGCTGCTGCCATTGGCGAGGGCTGGCCTGGCCAGAGCGTCGTGGCCGCGACGGCTCCCTGCGCCAGGGCGGGTCCTCACCTGCAGGCTCGGCGTGCCAGTGCTGCTCTCGCCAGCCAGCGCCATGCCACCTCTCCTGGCGCCATGGGGGCGCTGCTGGCGGTGCTGCTTCCTCCTGGGCCTGGCCCTTGCCGCTGCGGCCACCACTGCCTCTGCCCTTACCGTCACGGGCCATCGCTGGCTGGGCAGAGTGGTGGGCGGCCAGGCGCTCGGCCGCTGCCCGCAGGCGGAGCAGGAGCCTGTCCTGGGCTCTCTGCTGCCGCTCGCGGCGGTGGGCAGCGCCCTCTGGACCTCCTCCTCGGCGATGTCGCGGCGTCCCGCCGCTGGGCCGCAGCGCGGCCGCGAGCGCCGCGGCCTGCGGCAGGGGACAGGGAGGCACGGGTGGCCCCCTGCCGCAGAATATGGCGCGCGGCGCGCGTGAGCCCGGCCTCGGGGGCTGGCCGATGCGCGATGCGCCCTGCCACCTCGATCGATCGGGCGGCAGGCGCCGACCGACCCCGATGGATCGATCGGGATCGGCTGGCCCGCAAGAGGCCAAATGGCTTTCTTCCACGTCCTCCTCCTCCCCCCCACCTGCTCATCCTCCCCCTCCACCCCCATATCTGCCCCTTCTCCTCCTCCTCCTCCTGCTCCTCCTCCTTCTCCTCCTCCTCCTCCTCCTGCTCCTCCTCCTCATCATCATCAGCATCATCATCATCATCATCATCATCATCATCATCATCATCATCATCAGCATCATCATCAGCATCATCATCATCATCATCATCATCATCATCATCATCAGCAGCAGCAGCAGCATCAGCATCACCATATGAATCATCATCATCAGCATCATCATCAGCATCAATATCATCATCATCATCAGCAGCATCATCGTCATCACCAGCATCATCATCATCAACATCATCATCGTCATCATCAGCATCATCATCAGCATCATCACAGCATCATCACCAGCATCATCATCACCATCATCATCATCATCACCATCATCACCATCATCATCATCATCACCATCACCATCACCATCACCATCACCATCATCATCAGCATCAGCATCAGCATCATCATCATCATCATCATCAGCATCAGCATCAGCATCAGCATCAGCATCATCATCATCATCATCATCATCATCATCATCATCATCATCATCATCATCATCATCATCATCATCATCATCATTCTCCTCCTCCTCACCCATCAGTTTCCTTACGGACCACTCCTCCCTGTCGCATCACCTGACGCGCTGGGAAGGAGGGCGGGGTTGGTCGTGTCGCCCGAGGCTCCCCCGCCACTCGTCAGCGTGAGAACCTGCACCGATGGCAGGGGGCCGTCCCGAAGACGGCGCTCGCGCCATGGAGCCACGAGCACCCGTAGGGAAACAGCACCACGAGCACACGAAGGCGGAGGGCGGGGTCGTCTTCGGCATGGCAAAACAGGGCCAGGATCGGGACAAATCGCTCCAGAGCGTTCCGGAGCGCTCTCAGAGCGTTCCGGAACGCTCCGGAGCGGCCGCGGCGCCCAATGCATCCTCCAAACCCGCCGCTTCTCAGAGATTTCGAGTTTTTTCCGATCCGATGTTGTCCCGATCTTCGCGTCGTTTTACCCTCCTGGACCGTCCTGGGAGCCTCCCGGGGCGCCCTGGGCTCGTCCTCGGGCCCTCCTTTTGGGGCCCGAGGAGGGCCGTGCGGCGAGGCGCGGCGGGGGCCCCAGGGGGGGGGGCACGCGCCAAGCCGGAAGAGAGCTGGCAAGTTTGGGGTCTGGGGCCCTGTGAAGAACTCTCGGGATTGGTTCACCAGGAGGGAAAATCAACACACACAGACACACTTGACCGTCGATTCCCCCGAGAATATGGGAACAGATGGGCGGAACATATTTCGAGTTATCCCGATCCGATTTTGTCCCGATCTTCGCGTCGTCGGAACGAGGGCGGAGGGCGGGGCCGTCGTCGGCAGGGGGGCTCTCGCCTCGGCCCCCGCGCACCGCTCGCCTTGCGGCAGCCCAGGAGGAGGAGGAGGAGGAGGAGGAGGGGAGAAGGAGGAGGAGGAGGGGGGAAGGAGGAGGGGGAGGAGGAGGAGGAGGAGGAGGAGGAGGAGGAGGAGGAGGAGGAGGAGGAGGAGGAGGAGGAGGAGGGAAGGAGGAGCAAGAGGAGGGGAGGAGGAGGAGGAGGAGGAGGAGGAACGAGGAACGAGGAACGAGGAACGAGGAACGAGGCGAGGAGGGAGGCGAGAAGGGAGAGGTGCAGGAGCTGCACCACCGCAGAGCGAAGCGGTCTCAGAAGGCGGCGCTCGCCCGAGGCTCCCCCGCCACTCGTCGGCACGAGAACCTGCACCGACGGCAGGGGGCCGTCCCGAAGACGGAGCTCGCGCCATGGAGCCACGAGCACCCGTAATTATGGAAACAGCACCACGAGCACACGAAGGCGGAGGGCGGGGTCGTCTTCGGCATGGCAAAACAGGGCCAGCATCAGGACAAATCGCTCCAGGGCGTTCCGGAGCGCTCTCAGAGCGCTCCGGAACGCTCCGGAGCGGCCGCGGCGCCCGATGCATCCTCCAAACCCGCCGCTTCTCAGAGATTTCGAGTTTTTTCCGATCCGATGCTGTCCCGATCTTCGCGTCGTTTTACCCTCCTGGACCGTCCTGGGAGCCTCCCGGGGCGCCCTGGGCTCGTCCTCGGGCCCTCCTGTGGGGCCCGAGGAGGGCCGTGCGGCGAGGCGCGGCGGGGGGCCCCGGGGGGGGCACGCGCCAAGCCGGAAGAGAGCTGGCAAGTTTGGGGTCTGGGGCCCTGTGAAGAACTCTCGGGATTGGTTCACCAGGAGGGAAAATCAACACACACAGACACACTTGACCGTCGATTCCCCCGAGAATATGGGAACAGATGGGCGGAACATATTTCGAGTTATCCCGATCCGATTTTGTCCCGATCTTCGCGTCGTCGGAACGAGGGCGGAGGGCGGGGCCGTCGTCGGCAGGGGGGCTCTCGCCTCGGCCCCCGCGCACCGCTCGCCTTGCGGCAGCCCAGGAGGAGGAGGAGGAGGAGGAGGAGGAGGGGGGAAGGAGGAGCAAGAGGAGGGGGAGGAGGAGGAGGAGGGGAGGAGGAGGAGGAGGAGGAGGAGGAGGAGGAGGAGGAGGAGGAGGGAAGGAGGAGCAAGAGGAGGGGAGGAGGAGGAGGAGGAGGAGGAGGAGGAGGAGGAACGAGGAACGAGGAACGAGGAACGAGGCGAGGAGGGAGGCGAGAAGGGAGAGGTGCAGGAGCTGCACCACCGCAGAGCGAAGCGGTCTCAGAAGGCGGCGCTCGCCCCAGTGCGGCGCACAGCCCCCGAGAAGCAACTCCAGCGATGGGGCAGGGCAGATGTCCACGGGAGGGCGCGTGCTCTGTAAGTGTGCGCAACATCTCCCGGCTGGGAAATATGGCTTGAAGTGTAAAGCTGTGCGACAAGCGCACAGATGGGGCGCTGCTCCTGCTTCAAAAAGGGGGGCTCTCTTTTCAGAAGGGCTTAGACTTCCTGACAAAGAGGGCTACACCTGTGCAGCGGCTGCACGGCTACAGGGCGGTTCCTTCGCAGAGCGGAGACAAGGCGAGTGCAGAGCTGTTGCGGGACGCTTCTATCCAGTCGATGCTCCCACCTTGTCGCATTCCCGAAGGTGGAGGGCAACTCCGACTCAAAACGGACTCCCCGCCTACATTGCGGCCCCCGGGGAGATGTTTTTCCAGGGGTGGAGGGGGGCGCTTCGCGCAAGGAGCAAGGATCCTGGAGACGTGGCTGTTCTATGGGTTACCGAGATCTTATTTGAGTCGTTCCTCTTGTCTTACCCGCCGTCACTTCTCCGCGCCATTGTTCACAGTCTTCCTCCTAGCCCTGTGGCTCGCAGTGTCAGGTTGGGTTTCCGCATCTTCTAGTTAGCCATGGGAACGTCCGAACGGCAAGGAAGCGGTCGCCGGACCAGCCACGATGACCGCCGCGATGATCGATACCAGCCAGATCGCGAACAGAAGTATGACAGGTACGATGCTAAATCCTATGGTTACTATTCTTTATGTTTTTCCTTTTCTTTGCTTTGCCGCGACAATGCTGAGCACCAAAGGTAGCTTCGAGCGCAGTCAGGTCAGGGTGGCCGAGATGGCATCGGACATGCAACTGTCTCGAAAACTGATGGGGGCGCTTATATCTCTTCCTCCTCCTCCACCTTCCCCTTCCACCTCCACGCCCTCCCCCTCCACACCCTGGACTCATCCTCCCACTTCCTTCTGCGCCGCTCCTCGGACAGTGAGAATTCACTGCGAAAACCAGCCGACCGCCAGCAGCCTCATATATCGAACCATGAGCGGTCAGTCACCGCAGAATGCACAGATGGCGGCGCGCAGCTACATTTATGACGGCATGCCTCTCACTCCTCAGGCGTACTTGCGCTCCGTCCCTCAGCTTTCATACATGCATCCTTGTTCACGTAGTACATGCTGGGGTTGCGGCATTCTTCATGGACCCCGTCAATCTCAAGAAGCAACTCCTCTGGGAGGCTCTCGATCTTGCTGGCACCAACCCATTCCTCCACCTGTCTGACCGTCGTGGTGCCGCTAATGACACATGTGTTGCAAGGCTGCCTCAGTGCGAAGGCAATGGCCAGCTCCGCGGGTGTCAGGCCGTATTTTTTGGCGAGGGCCATGTATTTCTCGGTCGCCTTCATCGCTGCTGGCATGCCGTAACGCGGTTGGAAATCTGACCGGGACCGGTGCCTGCATTCCGCAAGAGGGCGATCTGGATCTTTGGTCGCGAACTCGGACTTGTCGAAATACTTGCCGGTCAAGACGCCACCACAAAGGACGCCGTAGGGAATGCCGACCAAGCCGAAGCGATGGCACGCCTCGTACGTATCGCTCTCGTACGTACGGTTCAGAAGGCTGTAGTCATTCTGCACACAGACGGGCCGTGGCACGTTGTGCTTGTCACACGTCAGGCAGAACATGGTGACACCATAGGCGTTCTCGTTGGAGAGGCCCCAGTGCTTGATGAGCCCAGCGTCGAAAAGCTTCTTGACCGCCAGCACGGAGGCGTCGAAATCCGTGAGTTCTCCTTTGTTCATGAACTTGAAGGGGCGATTCTTGCCATCCGGGAAGAAGGAGGCGCACCCGAAGATCGGCATATCGCGGACCGGAAAGTGGAGATAGTACAGATCAATGTATTTTACCAGCCTGGAACATATCCCTATCCCTATGCTGGGCACCTCCTCATCACGATGCCAATCTTAGGGATTCCCTTATTTTTTGAAGGCGAATCCCTAAGATTGTCATTGCCTTTTGGCGTGTCAATCTTAGGGATAGGGATACGTTCGAGGCTGGTAAGTATTCACACCTCAAGCGCTCGATGGAAGCCTTGCAGGATGCCAGAAGGACGTCCGCGTTGTAGTCGTGAAACTCGCCATGGCCACCGATACCTGCGGCATTGCACTTCGTCGCAAAGTAAAGCTCGCTGCGCTTTCCGCTGTGTTTCTGGAGCCAATTCCCCATCCACGTCTCCGTGGTCTTTCCATAATTGAACGCGACAGGATAGAGCTCTGCAGTGTCAAAGAAGTTGACGCCCGCGGAGACAAGGGCATCCATCTGCGCATGGCATTGCGACTCGTCGGCGTTGAAAGACCCCCAAGTCATGGTTCCGCCACAGATCTCCGATACCATCATGTCTGTTTTGCCGAACTTGACATACTTGAGCTTGTCATTCCGCTTCACAGACATGCCCGCAAGCAATCGGTTGGCGCCCGCTGGCGCTGAATGCAATGCTGGTGCTATCCCACAATAAGGGCACTGTCAATGGACAGCCCCCAGCGACGGGCACTGGAGAACCCTGAGCCAAAATGGCTACGGAACTATGGTTACTGTTCTTGGGGTAGCCGCCGCGGCCGCGATGACTACCGCGATCGGAGAGACCACGGCGGACGGTACAGTCGGGGCGTTGACCTAAGGAACCCTGAAGAAGGAACGAGGCCCATTTTTTCTACAAGTTAAACTTCGATTCCCTATCGAAAACAGAAGGACAACCTGAGGCAAGCTGCGAAGCACTTAAGGAACGCGGAGCCCCTCCTCAACCAAAAGGGTTCCTTCTTCAGGGCCCCGACGGTACTAACATCGCGGCCCTCACGAGGAATCGCCACCTCCTCGCAGCTCAGACTCGGAGGACTCCCGCGAGCAGGCGGAGGCCGAGCAGGCGCAGGCCCTGCTATATGCGAAGAGGACCCGCGCGTACCGCGCAGCAGAAGATGCGCGTCGCCAGCAGGCCGAAGAAGACAAGTGGCGCAAGCAGGGCGAAGAATTGTTGAAGGCCTTCAATCGGGGATGGACAGACCCCCCTTTAGTCAAACGTGGTTTAGTGAAAACGACCTGAGGCCCAAACCTGGCGGGCGCAAGCCTGGAAAATGACGGCCACGGCGCCCTCTCGAGAACCGAAGACGGACAATTCACTCATCGACGTGTCACTGTTGGGGGTTCTGTCCACCCCCGATTGGACACCAAGCTGGAGGAAATCCTTCACGAGTCCGGTCCGGGCGCGGGCAATGAAGCACCGGGCACGGGCAGCGGCGCCGCGGACTCGGCCGGTGCCGCGGCCGACGGGACCGAGCTCACCAGAGTGCAGAACCTGTGGTTGGAGGCGGAGTCCCAGCACAAGGTAAAAGCTTATGGACAAAGAGGTCGCCACGGCGCAGAACACCATCATGCAGAAGCTGGCCGAACCAGCCTTCGCAAAGCTGGTTTCGGCAGTCTACGGCAAGCACATGACGGAAGAATCGGTCCCTCGCAACCGGGAGGCTCGCGTAAAAAGGCTACTCGAGCACGTCCAACCACAGTGACTCTGTCATCGGGCTGCTGACTTCCCATGTGGGCTTCCAGGCGATCCTATGCTCTGGCTAGTGGTGGCTTTCTTTTTGGGGTATGTGTACGCGAGCATGTACCCCGCGGAATGGGTTCAAATGCATCCTCACGTCCAGGCCCTCCGGAGCTATTTCGACGCGCGCTTGTGCCCCCAGGCGTACACAGATGTGCACACGTTCGATCTCGCCGCGGCTCGGGCAGCATCGTCTGTGGCATCATCCTCCTCCACTGCCGAAAGTGCCCCGGTGGTCCTCCCACCGATCTTGCTGGGGCTGGCGAGGCGCCGCCAGGGGGGGCGGTTACCATGTACAGTCGGGGCGTTGACCTAAGGAACCCTAAATAAGGAACGAGGCCCCATTTTCCCGTAAGTTAAACTTCGACTTCCTATCGAAAAAATAAGGAAAGCCTGAGGCAAGCTGCGAAACACTGAAGGAACGCGGAGCCCCTCCCCAACCAAAAGGGTTCCTTCTTCAGGGCCCCGACTGCAGGGCCCGGCCGCGAGCAGGCGCGCGTGAAGTGCGGACGGCCCCCCAGAAGCTGCGGCTCGGGGCGCCTCTGGTGCACGCGGCCGCGGCGCGCTGCTGCGGAGCTTCGGGGGCGGCCGAGGCACGCGCGCAGCACGGTGAGCGCTGCGTGAAGGCTGCATTCCCGACGCGAGCGGCATTAATCAAGGAGCCCAGGGACACACAAATAAAGACACACAAATCAACTGATTCCCCATATTTTCCTGCATTTTCTTGGGTTTTGTCTTCCCGCCCAATTCCCATAGTTTCCCATACAAATCAAAGTTTCCCCGTATGTTCCTATATGTTCTGGGCTGTTGTCTTCCCATATTTGCCTGGGGATCGACGCTTAATTGTGTCTGTGTGTGTTCTCCCCTTCTTGAAGTAAGACAGTTCCAGGAGCTGCGGCGCACGGGAGGTGCTCCCCACTTCTGCCTGGCTGGGGCAGGCGCGCGCGCACGCGCGCGAGCAGCGTGTTGCGCTCGAACGTGCCCGCGGGCAGGGGCCGTAGCCAGGCTCGGGCCCAGCGGTGAGAAATGAAGGGGCCCAAGGACACACAAATGAATGCACACAAATATAACGATCCCCCATCTTTTCCCATACTTGCTGGGTTTCTGTCTTCCCGCCCACTTCCCATATTTTCCCATATTTCTCGGAGTCGACGATTAATTGTGTCTGTGTTTTTTCCCCTCCTGAGATGTTACCGAAAACTAGAATGCCAGCAGAGGCGTCTGTCCGAGGAGGGGGCGTGGGACGGGAGGATACCGCGGCTGGCACATCCTGAAACGAGCTTGGCCCTTTCATCACCGTCCCCATCCGCCTCCATCCTTGTTCCTCATGCATAACTCCTCCCTGTCGCGCCCACCAGCTTGTCGGTAGGGCGGGCTGGGCGTTTCGCCTGAGACTCCATCACCGCGGACGGCCCTGAAGCTTGGAACTTGCAGCACTTCTCGCGTCCAGATCTCCAGCCAGCCTTGGCATTCAAGCCTCCCCGAGTCTGCGGGCGAAATGCCCCGGACCCAGACATCGGGGGGGGCGCGCCGCGCAATTAGCTTCGCGCCCCAGGGCGGCGAGGGAAAAGGGAGGAACCATGGTGCCGTGGAGAACAAAGGAGCAAACCCACGCGAGAGGGCTGCCTCACAAAGAGTGCTGCCTCATCGCAAAACGGGCCGCCCTCCGCCCTTTCACCGTGAGACCTCCCTCCTCACGCGCAGGGGAGGCCGCTCGCTCATCGGCGAGGAACTCACGCAACACGGTCGAGGTACAGGTCAGCGCCTTGTTGCCCCAGGGCGGGGAGGGAAGATGAGGAAGAACAGGAAGGGGAGGGGAAGGGCGGCAGCGGCAGCAACTGGGCAGGAAGAGGCCCCAAGGGGGGCGCGAAACGCGCAGGGGAAGGGCAGCAGCAGCAGCAGCAGCAGCAGCAGCAGCGGCAGCCCCGCGGTTATCCTCGCGCACGGGAAAAGCCAAGATCGCAACACTTCTGCGGATGAGCACGGGGTCGTTTGAAAAAAGGCTCTCACCCCAGCGCCGCGCAGATTCGCCTCCTCCTCCTCCTCCTCCTCCTCCTCATCCTCATCCTGCTGCTCATCATCACCATCATCACCACCACCACCACCATCATCAGCATCATCAGCAGCATCATAATCATCAACCTCATGTTGCAACAGCGCCAGCGGTACAGGGAGACTCCTTCTCGGTATGGGGGGGCTCTCGACTTCGCGCGCCGCGCTTGCTCGTCTCAACGACGGTGGCGCCTCGGTGATGGCCAACGGCTGCCTCTCCGACGAGGGCTCTCGCCTCAGCGCCGCGCACATTCGTCTCAAACCAGGCGGGCTCCTCTCCAACACGAGGCTTTCGCTTGGGGCCTCGTCACCTTTGAGGACCAGAACGATTGACGTCTGCAACGGCTGCATGAATGGAGGGCGGCTCATCTTCAAAGTGGGGCTCTCGCTAAAGATGTTTTCGCAGGCCATGACCAGAAGAGCAAACATGTACACCAGCTACACAGATTAGGGGCCGGCCTCTTTTCCAAAACGGAGAATCACTTGACACTTCGTTGAGCTGTGTATATGCTACTCGCTGGAAGGATGCAAAGCAGTTCCTTGCCAACAAGTGGCTTTCGCCTGAATGGCAGGCATATAAGGCGCCAGTTTTGCCAAGGGGCGCTTCCCTCACGTAGTGAAACGCAGGCTTGTAGGGGCTCATGCAGAGGTGCCTTGGGACGGGAGGGTGTATTGCAGCATCGTTGACGCATCGTGGCTTTGCTCTGGTCTCGCCTCCTCCCCCTCCTTCTCCTCCTCTCCCTCCTCCTCCTCCTCCTCATCATCATCATCATCACCCTCCTCCTCCTCCTCCTCCTCCTCCTGCCTTTCCTCTCCTCCACAGGCCAATCATACGGCCCTTTGGTCGGTCCTTGGCTGGACAAGTCCGCGGTTTCGTTATCCTCCCCGCATTGGGTCGTGAGCTGGGTTTCCCCCGTCCGCCAGCCCTGCCAAGGAGTCCTGTCAAAGAGAACCGCCATCGCACCCAACCGCGAATCTGGACCACTCAGCGCCCAGGGCCCCAACGCGTCGACGACGACGACGACGACGACGACGACGACGACGACGACGACGACGACGACGACGACGACGACTGCGAGCTGACGGAGGTCAGCCAACGCCCGCGGGCCCCGTGGCCTGCTGCGCCCATGCGGCGCCCAGGAGGGAGAGCCAGGTCAGCGCGCGGGCCATGCGTGACCTCCCGCCCAGGCCGCAGGCAGCGGCAGGGGGGGAGGGAGGGGGGAGAGGGAGGCACTCCTCCCCCACTTCTCCCCCTCCTCCCCCTTCTCCCCCTGCTCCTCCTCCTCCTCCTCCTCCTCCTCCTCCTCCTCCTCCTCCTTCTCCTCATCATCGTCATCGTCATCATCATCGTCGACGCCGTCATCGTCATCATCAACACCACCATCACCATCAACATAATCAAGATCACCATCATCATCGACATGAGCATCAGCATCCTCATCATCATCAGCATCATCATCATCATCATCAACAACATCGTCAGAATCACCATCATAATCCTCATCATCGTCGTCATCATCGTCAACAGCGTCATTATCAGCAGCAGCAGCCTCATCATCATGATCAAACTTCTCATCCCCTCATCATCATCGATAGTATCATCAGCAGCAGCATCAACATCGTCATCGTCATCATCATCATCATCATCATCATCATCACCATCATCATCATCATCATCATCATCATCATCATCATCATCATCCGCATCATCATCCCCATCATCATCATGATCAGCATCATCAGCGGCAGCATTACCATCATCAGCATCAGCAGCATCATCATCACCATCACCATCATGATCACC